GTTTGGTCTACAGCTTACGACATTGTAAATCAGGATGATCAAGAACGAAAAACCATAGAATCTATTGTTGGAACGATAGCTAAACAAGAAGGTGTTGGACACCGACAAGGCAGCTGGATTGTAACAGAAGAGCCTACTCAAGATGGGAATCAAAATCTCAAAAAAGGACAATGGGCTGCTGATAGGGATAGAATTACTTCCAATGAAGGGCAGGCCAAGACCAAAAGGTCGCTAAATGACGGCGTAATTTTTGTGGTCGAAGAAGATCCCGACTATCATAGTCGCCAACAAATTTCATTGCAGGAAATGGACTTATCAAACACAAATTTTAGAAGGGAGAGAGAATTAAATCCAAAAATTCTTGAAGATATAGCCCACAAATTAGCCGAGGGATCTCTAGGCCCCTTTGACATTGTTGAGGAAGAAAAATCTCATACATACAAGCACAGACTGGAGAAGAGGTCTGGGCATGACATCGACGATGCAACAACGCGGCAGTTACCTGTTTTTTCTCGTCATACTATATCAAAGAGATCTTCAGACGATTCTAGCCAATCATACAACAAAGAAGATGTTGCTGCAAGGCTGGAAGAAGGAGAACAGTATTTGGACAATATTCTGTACAACTTTGAGTCAAGTCAACGAAATATACTGGCCAGTATGGCTAGGCTAGATAATCACAGGGGTGATTGGAACAAAACTCCGTGTGCTAAGAAGATCTTCTGTGACGTCATGGTGAACCAGCCAGCTGATGCTCTCATGCTTATGGAGAAGAAGATGGCCACCTTTCTGTCCCTGTAAGTTATATCTAAATATTTATCATATTCAATAGCTAATTCAAATGAAGTGATATAACTTTTATACAAACTTGATATAGAATGACACGAAGGTCGTTTCGAATTGCCCATCTCAGAAGTTTTGCACCAAAATTAAGTAAAATGTGAGATCTTGACGTACAACTTAAATTTACTTAAACTCTTCTGTCACTAAAATTCAGTACGTATGGAAGATTCGAAGGGAAATGGCATAAACGGATAAGAAATCTATGCTCCTTGAATATGCGTATATACGTATAAATATTACAGTATTTTACACTCTAATTTTTAGTCCACTTACATTTTTTCATGGCATATACGTTACAGAACATCAGGTTTAGTCTAATTTCAGACTCCTAGACTGCTTAAAATTTATCCTACGGGTGTGTTTCGTAAGTCTGGAGCCACGTGCAGTACACTTTTTATCTTTGCCCCAGTTGTGTGATGACAATAAGCAAATACGAGCACGTGGAAGTAATGATAGGCCTACATGAAGATGACAGTGATCTCGAAGTTGCATAAGTTAGCGAAGCCGTAGAACGTTTCTTGTTAATAACTCTCTCAATATTCTGATATTTTCTATGGTTCCAGGTTTATGGGACAATCTATAGGAGAGAGTAAACGGAGTATCGTAAGTCCGGTAACGTCCATGGATTATTTCTTAGCCGAAGTGATATTTTCATTATGAGATCAATAACGGAGAAATTACTGTAATGGATATTGAATACCTCACAATACCCAACCGACCCCTAGCATGCAGATGAACTCCTGTAACAACATGGAGCAAATTTCTTTAAATGCTAACGGTCTATCATCTAGGTGATAAATTACATTCCCTTTACGGAACCTTATGGTTTATCAACGTGACACTAGAGCCCACCACAGGAAACCATTCTGAACCAGCCATATTCAGTCACTACCTTCCCGCGCTATTTATTTTCTATCAATTTCATTATTACTGACCAATCTGCGAGTATATGTTCCTTCTCTTCAGATGAATTTCTTGTATCACTCAAGCTTGCTATATTATCCGCCCATTTCGATCGATTTCTAACCCAGAATATATTCTTATTCAATTTATCTTAAATTACTACATATGTGGTGTGAATATTAGCCCTTTGAAGCAGAAGTTATTCCAAATAATACAATTAATAATTCAGTGCGTACATCAAAGAAAATAAAAAAACTTAACCAATACAAAAATCGACTAGTTAATGCTGTTTTAAGGAAGCAATTCCTGTTTACACTCAGACTGACACGAAACACATAAATTCAAAATGCTGCGTTACTGATTATTGAAACACGTGTTATAATCACCATTGGGATTTATTAATTTGATACACGATTCATTTAAAAAAATCAGGCAATAAGTAACTGACAACGGCGTTTTGTGTCGTCATTATCGACCGATAGCGTCGGATAAAGTGTAAGACGATAAAAGTCCTCTGCATTGCTTTTATAAAGATCTATGAGATTATAATTAATTGCATCCTTGAAGAGAAATTCAATTTTCGAGATTCTGTAGTCGGCCTACACTTCCTTACATGGACTTATGAGCTACAAGCTCATTCCACATACGAAAATTTCCAATATATTATGAAAGGAAAAAGATGCACCTGTGCTTAAGGTGAAAATGTTTGTGACTGGGCTGTTCTTCGTGCTGGCATCTGGGTCAGTCAGCCTCACGAAGCAAAAGAAGAGTCCAACCATAGTCGCTTTCAACTTTCTCCGTAATCTTAGCCCAGTCATGGCCAAGTGGCCTATACGAGCCGTTTGTGGCACATAGTTAACGGACTCTCTCAATCTCTTTATAGAACACAAGAGAGACAACCAGGTTCGACGCTTATTTATCGTCGCTGTATCAATTATAGACGTCACTTAGAGTGATTCTGTGAGGAGAATAAAATACAGTTACTTCGTAAAGTTCTTATCACCGTGGCTGAAAATGGTTCAGTGGGTTCGAATCCTGAAAAAATATTTAGGGTCTACATATATTCGGGTTTGTATGGTTGCTGTCCTGTGTAGGCAGAGACCCCGTGACGTGTCAGTCCCCCACTGCAGGAATCCTACTAAATGGCTCTATACAATTCATAATTTCAGAATTAATCTTGAACCGGTACATCAGCGAAAGCTGCAGAAATAAGAAAGTTGACGGAAGGAGTTGCTGATCTTTGTACTATTCTCTCGGTATTAGACTGGAATCACTGAAGAAAGCTATAGAGAATCTCTGGGTAATGTGGTTTGGATTAGATTTATCAACCTTAGGATAGGGACCGGTGGCGGGCTCTTGTGAAGATGGTGTTGAACCTTCGCATTCCATAACAGACAGGGAATTCCTTAGCTAACCGAGCGAATATTAGCTTCTCATGTAGAGATCTTTTCCACCGAGTTAGTCAGCTAAAGAACAGATATTAACAAAATAAAATTGAAAATAATGCCTGAAAACTAAATTCCAGAGCTGTATAGATACTAACCGAAATGCAGATAGGAGATGCAACGGACAACAAGAAAACCTTGAAATCTGAACATACAAAGAGCAATTTGCATAATGTAGTCGATAATTATAATGATGATTAAGGCAGGGTTGAATGCATGAATTTATCCATTCTTAAATCAGTGACGTGTGGAAGTTTGGCCACCACTGTCTTCTCTGCACAAAAGAAAGCTGTAGGTAGGTGCTAACTGATGCTTCCACCCGACCATGAACTCCTACCACACACATACCTGCTGAGTAGCGGTGACGACAGAACTTTCCCCAGTTTCGTGACCCACAGAGCCCCGACATCGATGCAGAACGAAAGTGATACAAAGCCCACATGATTACACGAAAGACCTAAAAATCCGCACTACACACGAAAGCGCCTCTACGTCATGGCAGTAACCTTCGGAGGCTGCTAGAAGACAAAACTGCAACTTCATTATGTAACAAGAATGGAAATATGTACTAAAATTTTTAATTAATATGTATATCGTAAATACATTCTTCGCTATGACTCTGTCTACGGACAAGGCGCGCTCTTCCATTAGTCTTCCTCTGCCCGTGATCTTATAAGATACACCTGTGTAGGGTCTTGACTGAAGGTCGAATTTTTTGGAGCACAGCTTGGAAGTTGCCCTTCCCAGGGCAGTTCCTCCTCTACTGTTCCTTTCCTCCTGTTTCTATTGGTCATACTTCCTGTATAACAGATCCACACTCCAACTCGACTCACTTCTACCCTGGATATGAAGCTATTCGTGCCTTCGAAACGTTAATAACCGCCTTTAATACTACATGACGTCTAACCTACACTTTCACAGCAGTGAAAATCTCAAAACTAACATTATCAAGTTTCCATTTCCGCATATCAGAGACGCAGGTCGTTAAGCGGATAGCAACGTGATGATGAAAGCATAAGCAGAAACTTTATATACTGACGTTTTCACTTAAAAGAAAACAATGTAACAACGCATCGCGCAGCGAAATCTCTAGGGAGAGAACAGGCAAAGACTTCTAAAGTATTCGTAATAAGCTTTTGTACCGAAAACTTTAACTGCAGCATATTGTTGTGTGCTGCAGTTAAATCAGCATCTTGATTAATAATTGTTTAAGTTTATGTGGACGTGGACGGGAGTAATCAAATAATTATACCGACTGCCTTATGCTTGCATCAACCAACATGATTTTATAAAGGTGCAGTAAAGTCAAATTCACTATGCAACGTCGTTTATTTATATTTTGAAGCACGAAACAGAGATCTTAAGTAACACATCAAGTTTAATCTATTGTTTATAGCAAAATGGAATAAACCGGCGTTACAATCTTGTTATGCAATAGAAAACTCTACCACATATGGTATTTGTATGAAACAGATGACTGTAAACAATGCAAGTTTTTTATCAGCCTACTCAATAATAGAAGTCATTTCGATAGGGATTTAATAATGACATAAAAAGAAACTTATTTCAAATAAAACGACGTCAAAGTCCTGTTGTTAAAATTTGTTGCCATGTACATTCTGTAAAATAAATCTGTTATTGTTGCAGGATCCAACCCAATGAAGCTGTGTCATATCACCTAAGTGACGTCATGGATGCTGTAAAGAGGCATGACTGCTCCGAGTTCATTTGTCTCGGCGCTGTGGACCACAGTAGGGTTGACACACCCACCCAAGGACCCGGTCCGAGATAGACAAGCAACCGGCAGAAACGCAGTGAAAAGATGACAAGAAGAAGGGGTCTTGAACTCCAGATAGACGATTAATTTTTGTCCGAAGTGAATGCAAAAATATAAGCAAGGAGTTTTGTGTAACTTGCGAAATTATGCCATAATAAAATTTCGTGTTAGGGTCATTGCCTATAAACTCGAACACGATTAGTGTATAAATTATCGCCGCCCAAGCATATCAGTAGTTGACTGAATGTATGCAGATGAAGCAGCAGTGTGGGCCGCGAAACAAGTGATTTTCGATTATCGAACCGTTCTTCGATCCCGTTTCGGTCGAATAATCGAGAATGTACTGTAATGCGGATGATCTAAGAACAGACGTATCCCAGCAAACTGTGTACACATTATCAGTATTGGTCTTCTGGGGTGTAACATCATGTGGATCTGTAGACATCTAGCTACAAGTTCACACAGCATTAGACACATAGACTATGTGTAAAATGACTGCGTGGAGTATAATTGTTAGGTTCCCAAAAATCGAAACATGTACTACACTTGCCCGTTGGACTTACAAATCAGAGTTATTGATTTTGTAGTCAATACGACACTACAATGGAAAGCAGCCGGAGTTATGTAAAATAAAAAGAAATTTTATATATTTTACTACATATAAACTTCCGAAGGTTAAATTATTCGACCGCTGTTATTTTTCTATATACAAGTTAATTAAATTACCAAAATTACACATTCATAATATTAAAATATGATTCATGTTATATTGCATGTTTATAAAACGTTATTGTGTATGTACTTCTTTTTAAACCAATAAAACGTTTTCTTTTAATTCTGTGTTATTTGAAATAATGTACTTTAATACCCGGCTTCATATTCTCACGAATATTACATCAATGTGAACAGAGTTCTTACTTTTATAACAGGAAGATTTAATTGAAAAATATTCAACTTTAAATTTAGTTTAGTTGTTACTTTGTAGCACTTAATACTCAGGTTTTATCGTTAATCTATCCATTAATTCGTTCAAGATGCGATAATTTAAAAATAATTATTTTAAATTAGGGTGTGGTATCATGATCAACATTATCATCGTCTACGATACTCTACAAGGGTAAATATGTATATGTCCTAAAAGTTTAGGAAACAAAAAGTATTATGACATTTACTAAAAATCAGGTATATTGATTCAAAGACGCAGGCTATACAAATGTGATTATTCAATTAAGACATGAACTTAACGCTGAAGTGATAGTTCGCTTAATTACATGAAATATGAATCTTGGGTCCTAAAGCAGCATGTAATATTGTTTAACTTTCAGACTGAGGCCTGAAAAAGCGTAACCTAGTGCTAGCTAGCTGGACAATTACACGCAGGGCCTATTGTAATTTTTTTCTATTTTGGCTGTTAAAACTATTTAGGAACGTTTAAGTTATGACCATTCTTAGTTAATTATGTAAGTAAGTATTTAATACGCTAACCTTTAGCATATATCAATTAGTATTAAGCTATATATGTAACTTGACGTTCAACTTTCTACGCTATTACAATAAACTCACTGTATAATTATCCTTCTCTAGTGTTCAAATCTATATTGCACATTTTTATGAAATTTATTAAAATAACGAGATTTATCGAGAAATAGTTCGCATTTTCTGAAAAAACAAGAGACTGCAAATATCCTTATGCTGACCAATTTGAATCCATTCTGCAGCCACCTCAAACCTTATATCCTCAAGATCCACTGCAATAGCACCCTCCCATATACGAATACGTCTTTCGGACTGTATGTTCCCTTCAGTTTTAAACCGATTTATTCATCTCCCTATGCGTGCTATTTGTCCCGCTCCTTCAATGAGTTACGGAATCCAAATAATATTTTATACCCAACCGAATGTCGCGATAAGATGAAAGCAAACCTGTATTTGAGGTTCCTAGCTGAAATCTCGGCCAAAATACCGACTGTACTGACATACTGACAGAGTTTTTTTTTTGTTGAATTATGAAAGGAATATGAGAAAGGCGGGTAAGAGAACGCACCTAAAACGTTTCTGACTGTGAGCAATATATATATAAATTAATGAACGAGAGTCATGTACACTTACTGCATTCTTACTACTATATGTTACTAATATTCCAAGAAACTGTGGAGAGAAAAATAAACACTATTAATGGAACAGGTGAAATACGCACACTTGGAAAACTTGGTAGCTCAGAGTACGTACTAGCGATTATATTCCGTTTCCTGCGTACACTAGTTTAGACTGAAGAAGCAATATTTTTAGGTCCTTTGACATTTACACTGCGAGCTTCATTTCGGCATGTTACCTCGGATGGAGCCCAACTCAGATGGCCAGTGATTTGCAAAATAACGTTAGATTTGTCCCAAAACTCGCCTTCAGCTTCCACAGGTTTGTTCGTAAAGAGAAGAAGACTATTTTCCGTCGTTTCAATGACCACGAAAAAGTAACAGCGTAATCAGTATGCGTAATGCTGTCCGATACTGCATGAAGACAGAAAACCAACATTAGAACGTGGAACTGCTCAGATACGTAAGAACGCAGTACGTGGAGGCAGTGTTGACAATTACCTGTCTCGCCACACTCAGTATCGTCTTTTTGACGATGTTGATTTCAACCTGAATCTCCTTTGCCGCGATATGCGTAGCGATATTAGGCGTCGGTGCGCTAGTGCGCTAGTGCGTGTGACGTGCCTAGGCTTATCTTCGGTTTGTTCGGAATTCTATGGCGGCATCAGGACGCTCAGCGTTAGTACACTAGTGTCCTGTCGTGTGGCGTCCAGACGCCGTAACGCGTCGAGACGGGTGGCAGCGATTGCCAGCATCGTTAAATTAGGTTCGATTAGATTGTGTTAACTTGGATTAGACTGCGAGAAACACATTTTGGCAACTACCTGGCAACGCTCGGCATTTAGGTTATCAGACCAAGGCTCGTCTGAAGATTATTCGGGATTTGTACCGAGGACCCAGTGTCGTCTGCTATTCGCTTTGTTTGGAATCTTGTGTAAGGGTCGCGGCAATAAGCGTTGCGATGTACCGCGTCCCGACGCTCAGTAATAACAATAAACTGACGGTCACATTATTTATTAAGTATACTAATGTCTATTCAGTAGCACTGGCTATTGTAGGAGCCGAATCCTAAAGCTTCATTACTGTCCCACCGCCATTAATGTTCACTAACTCTTTGTTCTGCCCATGGAGTGTTTAATATGACAACACGTCTAAACATCACCATTGACTGATATTTGAAAAGCAGTTATGTCTTTTTCTTGGAGATAATAAACGAGTTTTTAAATGTTATTTTTATTAGCTTTGTCCTTTAATGGGATTGAATTCCACAGATTTGTTGTGTAAGAGACATGGAGCAAAAAGGACAATAAGGTTTAGGTAGGAGACAAACTTAAGGACGCGAGACAAATAAAAAAAACACCGGTAGTTAAGAGTTCCAAATTCGAGCGAAATATGCCACTTTGTACCTCGTGTGCAGAGTTGTTGGCCTTTTTAATAATAAAATACGCAGTGCAGGGACGAGGGGGCGGTATCACGCTTCCTACGTCAAATTTTATAGAGTTGCTGTTGTTACATGATTTTGAATAAACTGCAATTCACACAATGGATATTTCCGTCAGGTGACAATCTCCCTTTCATTTTCAGAATCCGCAACAGAAATTCCCTTATTCCCACTGCTCCTTTTAAAGAAAGTCTGATTTTATTGTTGAATTACTTTAGAGAAAACTAATATGATTCCTTTGCAGACTAACACAGTCACATGAACTTAAAAACAGTAACAAGGAATTTAAGTACAGTAACTAACTGTGACGGAGACAATAAGACACCGTAAAAGAAATTGTCGCAAGAGCGTTATCGAAATTGTGTATTGTCCCTTCTCGCGCTTTATGCATTTTAAGCCTACACAACTCATTGTTACCGTCTGCAAACTCCATGACAACGTGCAAGCGAAAACACGATCGTCTCATAATAATGCAAACAGACATATTTTTACGTTTCTATGGACAATGACAGAAAATATACAATCCACATTTATGTTCAACGATATGTATCCGTCATTATTTCATCTTCTCAGAACTTTCAGTGGGGGAGAAGTAAATTGTCTTTAAGAGAAAATATGGAGGGGGAATTAATATACAGATGAGAGTGAGGGGCACATTACGACCAAAGCCCTGCCCATAGCATAGATAATATTGTTCGAAAACACAATGCTTGCTATATAAGGAGCAGTTGTAACCCTCGCAAACCTATTCTCAAGTTCTCAGTCGATGAGATAAGACGCTATCAGTTACTTAGAAGAGTTTTGTGGTTCACTGGATTTCCAAAGAGGTCAGGTAGGTCATAACAACACAGACAATAATTATTTTAGTCATTATGAGTTCGTATTTAAATACAGGTCTTCGTGAAACAAATACATGTCCATCGATGTAAAGCGTCATAGACTTAGTTTGTCCCAGAGCAAAATATGCGAATAGATATTAGACCTATAAAAGTCATGGTTCTTTGTAAAACACGGACCTACCGCACTAGTAGAAATCGTCTGTGGCACAAAATTTTGTGCACTGTCTCGATTGAATACTAGCTTGAAACTTAAGAACATTAAATATTTATACGTTGTATACCTATACATTCTATTGGAGGAATGTAAATATTTATTTTAAATAGAAACAACCACAATTTTTTTATTTTACGAAAAACAATAAACTTGAAGTACGTTTTCATATGAATCATCATTCAACTAATAAGCCTCGCTAAATATCATCCACCATTATTAGTATTATGTTCCATTTAGTAAACTGCTGCTAAGTCATGTTATCCAGATCTACTAACGGATAGTTAAAATTATTAGGGACAGTTACTTTAAACAGGCCACGACCCCTCCCCTGAGCCTTTCCGAATTCGTCACCCTCAATCATTTCATCCCATTCGACACAAATAACTTTTGAAATTGTTTGAACGTCGTTAAATCACCTACAGACTAACTAAAACGATGACGTTTGGACTGATTATTTGATTCTAGGAAATCTACGCCTACATTTGACTTTACTACGCAAATCACTTAGAACCATGAGAAATCCTAATCGACATCATAATATAAAGGGGCATAATTTCAGAATGTTTTATCCTGCCATACATTTCCTTTTTTGAACATGGGTTAATATTGAATATAACGGATATTTTAGGTTGAAGCCATAATTATGCATGACCAAAATTCTGATATTCATTACTCCGACAATCAGTAATCGCAAACCCCCCCCCAAAGAAAAAGTCTTGCTGGAGACATTTGTTAGCGACTAATGTCGGCTTTTAACAATCAGTTGTCAGTGGTCTATAAAGCACGTACCAGGTATCCATGTAACGTACAACGTGCTTATGAATTACGTAGATCAGCAAATACCAGGAAACGAATGAATACTGCAAGCACATTAACCTCACTTCTGGTAATAAATTCTTGAAATTCTGTGTAATAAATAACTGTTTACAAATTAAATAAACAGTGCATAAAATTCTATCATATGCACACGCACGAATGTAATCTGCAAATACATAAACAAAAAGAGGATATTACGGAACTCAGGAAGAATTAAAATTAGATTAGAGTTTCGGGCTTAATATATTTCATTTAAGGAAGTCTGGTTTTGTGTAAAAAATGGAATTTCGTGTTTTCATTGAATTATAACCGTAATAAGCTCTGATAGAAAACTAATATAAAATTGGTTGTAAGTTTTTACAAATAAAATATAATTATTTTAAATACTACAAACAGTATGCCAATATGGAAACAATAACGGAGAAAAATTGCAGAAAATGGTGAAGGAGAACGAGTGCAATGGAAAGTACACATGATAATAGATAATATTAAAATGAAGCTTACATGCAAAAGGTGTAGGTGAGAATGAAAACTACATTAATTCGGGTAAAGACTTGAACCAGTAGCGGGCTCCTGAAGACACGGTAATGAACTTTGGGTATCCATAGTAGGAGGGGAATTTCTTGTTTAGCGGAGCAACTGCTAGGTCTAGTTTCTTAAGGACTCTGCGCCATGAAGTTCTATCTAACTAGACTGGTCAGCATACAAATTGCTTTCTGCCCAACTGAAGACATGGCATATGAATGAGGTTCTTGTTGTTTCAGTCATGTATACTGTTAAAAGGACTCTTGTGATGTTCATTGGACTGCTGAGTTTGGTCACAATTGCGGCTGCAGCCATCAACAACGAGTTATCGGCGCAGGACATTGCAGACGGTTTGAAATCTTCCAGCGAGAGGACAGGAAAGATGACTGGAATCAAACCCGTTAACGTTCTAGCTGATATCGCTCGAGAAATGGTCATGAGGTCGACAACTAACAGTCAGGTGAGAAAACTTGTAAATATCTACATGCCACCTTAAAATTAAGCAGTGGTGGTAAAAGAATGAGGCATGGGTTTCGTAAGGGACTGGAGACCTAAATGCACATGCTTCTACAAGACAATAGCGTAAAATTGTAATATGTGACTACTTTTATGCTCATTGTCATCACTCTGTTAGCACCAGCTGATAGGGAATAGAAACATTTTCATATAATTAATGATTCATTGAAAACCAGTTCATCATAACAGAGTGGATGAAATGTTTGTCTGATAGAGAATTAAATTTCAAATTAAGGTATTTCCTGAAAAGTAAGTATGCAAATATAGGGCTAAGCCATTATCTGAATAAAATGGTATAGGGCAATGATGTGGTTTTAGCAGTCTTGTATAGATATAAAACATGGGTGACAATTGAAAGTGATAAAAAGAGATATAACGCTTCTAAAACTGAAGCTTCAGCATAATCGTTCCTGTTACCAATTCAGTTAGGTTAGGCGAGAAACGGCGGTACGCCTGCAACAAAGTGTTTAGGCTACGTGCTGGGCGCGTGTCGGAGGAATTGTTCTCCAGCCCGAAGCACATTACACGTTTCCATGCATGTAAATTGAAATTCAGATCATCTTTTCGAAGGGCATCTAATGTGCCCAAATCCTCTCTGACCAAATTTAGTGGTTTTCATAAATTTGGAGTTACATAAAAGAAAAAACCGAACTTTATTTTAAATCATGACGCTCAAACGGAGTTAAGATTTTCAACTCCAGTCTAATCTCCGGGAAAAATTACCAGACAAGACGTGTTTAATTATTTTGTTGCTTCTTTCAATTAAAATTATAACAACATATTATGAAGATGATGAAACATACATGTCTGAGAAAAACATGTCTGTATTGACTGGCTTTGATAATAAGAGACAATCATATTAAACAAGAAATATTATTTACCTCTGAAGTTACGCAAGACTAATATGAGCTTTACTGAAGGCAGTGACACGCTTAATGCAATTTTATTCTATTTATATTTTTGTAATAATCTTGACCTAATTCCACCCCCTCTTGGCGAAACAAATGTGTGTCACCAAGAACAAACGTGTTCAATGCCCGTTGTTATAATCTAAATTACGTATATACTGATTGGGCCCATCATCATGTCTCGGTTGTACGCAAAGAAACAATGTCATGAGTCAACATAAGGAATAAATGAAGTAACTTATATCAGTCTTAATTGTGTGTTCATGTAATCAAAGAAACAACATGCATTTAAACAATAAATTCTTCGAAGAACTTACTTTCTTTCAAATGCTTACATTTATACATAGGCTAGAAGGAATTGCAAATTAAAGTAATCACACAGTTTATATAAATTCTGTGTATAATTTTCACTACTAAATTTACTTATTATTTTCCTTTATCATCGCCCCGTTTCAACAACGTTACATACAAAAGTAGTAAGCCTCCTTATGACCTACATATAAATTTCGTGTCTGGCAAGATTCTTGCATTCTACATAGAAGGAACTACATCAAAAGTTGCATACTTGTTGCAGCTCTAGTACCATACATAATCTCAGGATCCTTCCTTCTCAACGGAATCTATATTTTATATCCTGCAGAAACTTTTTGTGCCATAAGCCCTGTATGAAGAAACCATCAAATTTCTAGTTGAAATTCGTGTAAAGTCGGTCTTATATTTGATCGGTACGAACCAAACAACTTGCAATATGAACCATCAACGTCAAACTTATTCGAAATTCGTTAGTGGATGAACAATGCGATAATCTTATACACTTAAGAAAATTGTAACTGGTGACCTATTTAAAAAAAATATTTATATTCCCCCCCCCCCCCAAAAAAAAAAA